GATAAAGGTAACAATCGGAAGTATATAAGCATCAGTAAAGAGAAAAATATATAGAATTTGCCAGAAAACAAAACAAAGGTTTCTATGCAATTTCTGTAAAAGAGTGTAATAGCGGGAGTAATGGGTTTTCCAGGAAGAATCCATTAATAAGTAGAAAATACACTTTGACAATGAACTTTTATTTTCATAGTTCTTGTGTGACCTTTAATTGTGGAGTAGACTTTAGATACGTTAAAATTTTGAATGGTGGTTTAGCAATAATATCAGTTACGATATGTAGCATCGAAGGGATTTCGGATCTATGTTATTGCCTTGTAGTCCAATTTGTACCGTTCGAAATCTTCATGCTGTTAAATTTTCTACTCTGCCAACAGAAAGGACCATTATTAACAAACCTCACTAAAGTCTGACATTGATGTCACAAAACTTTTAGCCGGAGAATTTATTAGAATAACGTAGTGAAAAATGATTGTTCATATGTAATCATGGACCACTAAGATAAATGTTATATCGTTAAATTAAAGTCGTGTGAATCATTTAATATCTTTAAAAGATCGATCGAAATATTTGATATCTTCAAACATTTCATCACTGCTAATCAGCTCTTACGCTATTTTATCACTGTAGATTTGGTTGATTTGCATTTTCGACTATTTTTCATGAAAGAACAATGGAAGGTAGGGTCTCCAACGTTTATGTTCGTGTTCGTTTATATTCGTGTTCATTTCTGTTCGTGTTTGTTTATGTTCGTTTATTTATTAAATGAATGAACATGAACAAGTTATATTCCTTAATAAACGAACATGAACAAAAAAAAATTGTTCGTTTATGTTCGTGTTCGTTTATGTTCATTTATTTATATTAAATGAACATAACTACGTTCGTGTGCGTTCAGTTCGTTTACAGGCCTATCTTTTACTAATGTGTCACATCATCAAACTAACGGAAATTAACGTCACAGTGACCACATCTTAATTAAAACGAAATGAAAGTGACTACGACTTAAGTTTTTTTAATCGAGTGACCATAAATTTATAAAAATAAAATAAAAAGTGACCAACTCTGTAATTTATCCTAAAAAAATAAAGAAGTTAAGGTCATCAAGAATCAAACCCATGACCTAACACATGAGGGCCCATGTCTCTGTCGAGATATTATAAGATGTTGAATTCAAGTTCGAGGGCAATTGAATAGAGTTTAAATGATCGACCGATATGGCTAAAAAATCAAGGTAATATAGTACTACTTTTTACATAATTTTCAGTACACGTTGATATTGGTTATTGAATGAATGATTATTATTGGTCAATTAGGTAAGATTAATTATGCTGAACTCGAACTGAATTCCGTAAAAATTTCATAAACAAAATAAAACTCAGATGATTTGCATAAGAAATTAGAAGATCGATACAAAATAATTCCAAGTTCAGTGATGAATTAGTAAATCAATTAACCTCAGGATCCTTAAATTCTGATTATTTTCTTTAAAGGTTAAATGCCTGAAATAATTGGATAAAATTACAAAAATACCCCTATGGGGTAAAAATTATAAAAATACTCTTGTGCTATAAAAAAAAGGCAAGGATTGCTCCTGAAGGTGGACAATAACCCTAAAAAGACATACTTGGTCAAATTAAACTACTGATGCATCTGTAAAATGCTTGCTTTGTTTAGAAAACTTTCGATATATGCTTTTAACCTTCGTGATGGGAAAGGACTTAGAATTTTGATTCTTGAATAAACACTTGAAGATTAATATCTCGGAAGTAATTCAAAAGATAAAATTGAATGAAATGACAAAAATACACTTAAAGTGAAAAAGGGACCAAGGATGATCGTGATAGTGGAAATGACCTGACAACTCATATTTTGGTCCATTTGAACCCTTGAATCACCGATTAAATTCTTGATCTATTTGAAAAAAACCCAAAAATCAACTTCTACCTTTAGAATTCAAAATACGTTGATCTTTTGACTTTTTAATAATCATATAAAGATTGGATTATTAAATGTATATCACGTCATTGGAGTATTTGAAATGATTGGAGTATCCTCGAAAATTGTAAATGACCAAAATACCCTTAGACCCTAAATGACTAAAATACCCTCAAAGACCTAATGACTAAAATAACATAATGTATAGAGATGACTTAAATACCTTTATAACCTAGATTAAGGGAATGCTTGTGATGAGTTCTAAAAGCACTAGTGAAGCATTAAATGTTAGAAATAAATATTACAATATTACAATATTAAAGGATGCTTGGGGATGAGTTTTGAAAGCACTAAGGACAACCTAAATATACCAACACCATTATTATTATTATAATATTAGGAAGGAATACTACTAAAATATATGCTCGTCTCTTGAAGATCCATTCAATAATGATTCTAAAGGTGTTTCGTTCAATTGTTACAGTTGGTATTAAGAAATAAATATATGTGATACATCTTGGTCTGAATAAATGGCAAGTATCGTAGTGTTGAGATTTGTTTAGTTCAATTTGACACGAAATCTTGAGAATTTGGTATAAATTCAGAATATTGTAAATCATCATTTCACTCTTATTGGGTTATTTTTACTAAGAATTCTTCCATAATCAAAATGTTTAAAATGCCCTTGTGGGCCTAAATAATGGAACCACTCATGTTAAATCTATAATAATTTCGGATATAAAGGTTTATGAATACCTTCCTGATGGACCTGAATCCTAAATGGTCCTAAAGTATCAAATTCTAAATGTCTGATTAGATATGTTAGTAATTGAACCCTTTTTTTTGTAGAAATCTCGTTTATGAAATCCGATCAACTTACAAAAGTTTGTATGTCCCTTCCTAATAATTACCTAGCACCTTGAAAAAAATTTGGATCCTATAATGTGTTCCATATGCACAAAAATATTTTCTCTGTTTATAAAAAGTATGACTATGATATTTGAAATAAAAATCTGATCTCTTATCTTTGTTTCCTGATGTATATTATATCTCACTCTTGATATCTGATATTACTAATACTGTTTATTATATGTATGATCTGATTTATATTGGGGTATTTATGGGATATGTTATGGAGTTCTGAAGGTTCAACTCCGATCAAGCTGGTAAATCCTTATGGACCTAAGGTGACCCTTGGGTGGGCTCTTGGGCTCAATGGGCCAAATGGTAAGACCTTATGGACCATATGGCACTCCCATAGGGTGGCTCATTTGCTTTGTGCATTGGGTAAGTCCTTATGGACCTAAGGGAAGTTCCTTTCGATGGATCATTTGCTTTATGCATTGGATAAGTCCTTATGGACATGAGGACACTCCCCTTAGATGGGCTCATTTGCTTTGTGCTTAGTTTAAGTCCTTATGGACCTACAAGCACACCTCTCAGGTGGCTCCTACGCTTAGGCTAAGGTAAGGACCCAATGTGTTCCCTTAGGTTGGCTCATACGCCCAATGGACCTAGGGTAAGTCCTTATGGGGTGTTCAGTTGGAGGGTATTACAGTGATTTTAAAAATTTTGTTTTAATGAAATAAAATACTACTATTGTTTTTTAAACTATGTTTACATTGATTTCTGGTTTCTAGAGAACACACTAGACACTCATTTCGATCTCCTGAATCTGTCACTTTGATTATTTCCTCTGAACTATAGGTTTTATAATTGTTACATGAAGAATCAATTATCAAAACCTCAACTCATCACTGAAACCTGTATAAGTCTGGATCAATAAGAAAGTTTTATGCTTTGTTATATATCAACTTGTTCTTTAGCATCATCATGTAGTTCTGTATTACTGAGTTTTTTAAGCTCACTCTGTTACTCACCATTTCAGGTTAAAGAAATTGGTCCTGTGCAGTTATCGACATCAGTGATTAGAAAATCCTTCGGTGTTGCTTGCAGAGTACGGTACACATGTAATTAAGGGGCATGTAGGTCACATTTGTTTTTATATTAAGTATGTAATTTATTTGACTATGTTTTTAATGTTTGATTAATTTCTAAACTTGTATATTATTTAATAAGTTGTTTTACGATTTTACATGTTTTAATAAGAATTTTATTTTTTTCTTGGATTTTGTTAGTGGGTCACTCCAGTGGCTTTAATGTAACACCTTAGATTAGATCGAGTTATCCGTATCAGTCTAGGGGTGTTACATTTTTTATTAAATGTTTTGTCCCTCTTTTTCGTTCGGCTACAGAGTTAAAATCTTGTTATGAATTTTCAACATTGATCTATAGTTACAAATGGTCCTTTGATTATAGGACAATGTTTTATTGAGTCCCCCGACTATTAAAATTTTACAAAATGATCACTCGACTATTCATATGTTTCAAACTCATCATTTTTCGTTAAAAAATTAATAGTCGTCTAAACTAAACATTTGAGATTTTGGGATTATTTTTATAATATCACAGTCAACAGAATAACGTTCAACTTAGACGACTGTCAATTTTTTAACGAAAAATGATGAGTTTGAAACATATAAATAGTCGAGTTATCATTTTGTAAATTTTTAATAGTCGGTGACTCAATAAAATAGTACGCTATAATCAGGAGACTATTTTATAATTATAATAATCAATAGACTCAATAAAATAATATCAAATACAAAAATTAAATTTGACGAATTTCTCTTCTCGCCAAAGCTACAGCAGACAATTATTACTTTCATTCCCATTTTATCTGATTTTAAGGATGCTACAACCTTATTCTCTGAAGAAAATTCTACAAATAAAGCCAAAACTTATATCTTATGAATTGTCAAAGGAAAATCAAGAGAGTATAGTTGAGAGATTATTTGTGTATTTTATATTTAAATGTTTAATTCAAAGAGACTTGTAACTATTTATGTACTATATACTTGACATTTAATTCAAAGTGAAAAAAAATAAGAGAGCCAGATTGAGTTATTTTTATGAACTAAATAGTCATATTAAAAGAAAAAAATAGAATGTTGGCATAGTTAACTTGCTACGTCAGCACAAAATAATAAAGACATTAGTTAACGATGGAAAACGTCGAAATCCTTAAACCTAAAGCAAATGCAAATGCAAACAGTGGTGTAAAATATAGCAGTTTCAACATCTTGGCTGCACATTTATGGCGATGTGCAAGTAGAGCAAGGGGTCTCCCAGATGATCAACCCACCAAGCTGCATTTTCCATTTGATGGTCGATCTAGATTAAATCCTCCTCTCCCACAAGGCTACTTTGGCAATGTAATCTTTATGGCTGCATTAATTGCCGAAGCTGGCGATCTCAGAACCGAATCATTCGCCGATACAATGAAAAGGATCCACGGACGATCAAAGGAGATTGATGATGAATATTTGAGATCAGCCATTGATAGCGTTGAAAAAGTGTCTGATTTAAACACTTTGGTTAGAGGACCCCATACTTTCCGATGCCCAAACCTTAATGTTATTCCATGGATATGGTTGCCTATATATGATGCAAATTTCGGATGGGGTCACCCCATTTATATGGGACCAGCTAACGTCGTACAGGAAGGCAAATTTTACGTAATATGGTTTAGTTGTTTTACTATTGTGAAGCTTGAGATGCAATCCTTTCCTTTAATGTGGAGAATTCGTAGCATATTTGGTATTTATTAGTGGTACTAAAGCTAATACAATAATAGTTTATTGTATCTGAAAAATCGTAGTCAGAATAAAAATCATATTGAAATAATTGTTTATCTGAAAATAAATGTGATTCTCTAAGTACCAAATCTCGTAAATTTAAGTATCTGAAACATAGAAACTAAGGGGCGTAAACTATAAAGCTTAGTGCGTCTCTATAGTGCAACAAACAAAAACAATATCATAGTCCGAACAAGCAACAAAAGTCAAAATCCGAATAAACAAATATTTTTAACACATAACCTTCGAGCCAAACAGTAATATCATAATCTTGAATGTTATGCAAATCCTCATGCACCTGCCCTGCTCCTATTAAACCCAGATGAGTGGGATTCCTAGAACCACACTAATTCCAACCCACACACTATATAAGTAGGGTCTACCACAAAGACATAGGTCATTGAATCCGAAAAAGTGACATTCACCCGTAGAGTGAATGCACCAAACTTCCCCTATCAAAATTCATCCCAGTATGATATGCAAATGGCAAACATATCCAATATCCGTATAGCAAATATCCGAATAACATATCAAATATCAAATATCCGAATTTCGATTTAATCCGAATGTAATAATTACATATACAAATAATCCAAATGTATCTCATAAATTTTCAGTCTGACATTAACAATTTATTTCACATACAAATATTTTCGAGTTATATCAGATGCAACAATATCACAGAATCCATCATGCTCGAAACCAACTTCCAAACAATATCACCGAATTATATTTAAAGCAACAGTACACATAACAATCATGCTGACAACCAATTTCAAACAATCATTCAGTCAACACGAAATAGATATAGCACCAGACACGCCTCGGTATTTGCTAATGGCGATAATGACGTTTTCCCACAATCAATTCAAACTATAGGTCTAACCGAAACTAAGGTGATAACTAACACTCGTGGTCATCAATCAAGTGATTGTTCATTCCTTGCGCACCTCTAAGAGCAAAACATGATGGATGGCTATTAAAGTTAATTTTCTGGACACTGTAAACAAGAAGATAACTCAAGTCTACTTATCGTCCACTATTTATTTCCAGTAACATATCATACAACTCAATCTAGCTTTTACAACATTCGTAGAAATCACCAAACTAAGTAAAGCAGCCAATATATTGTCCACACCAGAGATAAAGTAGTGCGATAACAATCATCACAATCCTTGTATGCGATGTCTGTTATCATTTATTACATCTCTAGTATGAGGTTGATGGATACTAAAATTCATAAAGAAGTTTCTCAAAGAGTTCCATGTGAGAAGTTTCTAAGCGAGTTACCAGTGATAAGCTCCCATCATTACTTGGACTCGGCAATATGAACATTTTGCCTTCCTGGACGACGTTCGCCGGCCCCGTATAAACGGGGCGACCCCATCCGAAATTTGTATCATATAGGCAACCATATCCATGCATTAACATTAAGGTTGGGGCATCTGAAAGTATGGGGTCCTCTAACCAAAGTGTTTAAATCAGACACTTTTTCAATGTAATCAATGGCTGATCTCAAATATTCATCATCAATCTCCTTTAACCGTCCATGGATCCTTTTCATTGTATCGACCAATGATTCGGTTCTGAGATCGCCGGCATTTGCAATCAGTGCAGCCATAAAGATTACGTTTCCGAAGTAGCCTTGTGGGAGAGGAGGATTCAATCTAGACCGACCATCGATTGGAAAATGCAGCTTGGTGGGTTGATCATCTGGGAGACCCCTTGCTCTACTTGCACAACGCCATATATGTGCAGCCAAGATGTTGAAACTGCTATGTTTTACACCACTGTTTGCACTTGCTTTGGCTTTAAGGGTATTCAATTGATCAACTGTGAGCTTGAAGGTTGAGACAATGGAGGGCTTGAGAGCATCTGATGGAGAGTTCATTGATGGTGATGGATCATATTCGACATGGTGGAATTTAGGCATAGGTGGATCTCGAGCACGAAGGAGAGTTCGATCGATGAAGGGGACGATTGCAGGTGATAGTCCCCTTGCAGTATCAGCCCAACTAATCATGAAATGAAGAGCCGATGCGCCATCTCCTACGATGTGGTGCATCCCAACCCCAAGACAAATTCCACCGCATTTGAACTTGGTTACCTAGTACAACATACTGACCATAAATCAATACTGAAAAATTAGATAATCTAAATGCTTAAAGATTACCTGCAAGACAAGGAGTGGATAAGAAGAAATTTCCCCAGAATAGTCGACCTTAGGAACTAATTGCAAGACCTGAGAGTCATCACTAAAATCACCAACTAAATGATCCATGACTGAACTACTCTCAGCTTCCACGAACAAAACTCCTTCGCCGTTGCACAATATTTCAAGTCTTCCATTTTCATCAAATCCCAACCTTCCGGCAACGGGATAAAATGGCACAAGAACCTTGCTCAAAGCCTCCTTAAGCTTTTCAGTATCAAAGAAATCAGAAGAACCATTAGGCTTATAGTAGTATACAGAAGGGACATGGTACCTTGTCATCACAATGTCTAAGTTGGAGTTCCATAGACTCTTCCGGAGAGTTTCTTCGGCCGGACGAACGATTGTTGATTCCTTTATGGTAATCTCCATCTATGATAAACAAATTGCACTTTGAGAATAGTGTGGCTGATTGTAAGCCGCTTTGAACGGCGGCGAGAGAAGCTTCGGCTGTCCCTTACTAGATCTTAAACTACGACACACGACAGCTAAAGGTAAAAGAAAGAGAGAATGTCGTGATCGTAGGACTGTCGTCGGAGACCTCTCTTACCTCAAAATAGCAAAACGGCAGCGGCGCGACTAGGAGTGAATGAAGGACAGCCAGGTTTTGTGAGAAGGAAGAAGGGGGGGGGGGGAATAAATGGGAGAAGAAATCGGAAGCGGCGGCGGGGAAAAAGAAGACCAAGAATAGTAAAGACGTTTTGGTATAATTTCCTCTTAATCCCTAATCTTTATTGGATTTTAGAATATGGAAATAAATGTTTCATTATTTTCAAATTGACCAAAAATTTAATTTAGGGATTTGAAAAAAAAATCTCAAATGTTAAGATTTTTAATTAGGGTTAAATTAGTGTGTTACTCCAATTTTCTATGAAGTATTAACTTTATTTATGATTTTTATATCTATTTATAATTTTTAAAAATGTTATATCTCCCCTTGCTATCCCCGTACTCTTTAATTTTAAAAATTACTATTTCTCATCCCGTGTTTATATGCATATTTGTCCTCGTATCTATATCAATGCAACATAGCTGACCAATTATTGAGGTATAGATTGAAAGTTTAAAAAGGTATGATATTTCTATTATGGTTTCAACGCAGGTAGTTGGAAACATGGTTATCAAAACCGTACCAGTTGGTTCACCCGGTGGCCTGTCCAGTTCGATTACCTCACAAAATCAAACTGGCAATGAACCGGCTAAAAACCGGTAAAATCGACTGAAAACGGTAAAACTGGGGTGAACCAGTTGAAAACCGGCAAAATCGGTTTGAACCGTCGATTCACTTTTTTCTTTAAAAAAAATAAACCAAACGACGTCATTTGTTCAACGAGCCGAGTCAAATTCGAGTATTGTTGAGCTCGACTCGAACTCGAAAACTTTAAAAGTAAGCTCAACTCGACTTAAAAACTCACGAGCTAAAAATTATCAAGTTTAACTCGAACTCGAAATATAATATTAAAACTTGAACTCAAAAAGGCTCGAACTAAAAAAAATTAGAAGTTCGATTGAAGCCTAAAATTTGATCTCAATTGAAGCGAAATAATAATGCGCTCTGTGCTCACCAAAAGGCTCTATGATTTTGAGTGTCATATTACCTCTATTATTTATAGAAGTAAGTTGGGATGCTCTTCTATGTTTCTTAGCCATGTGGGATTGTTTTGTTCTCATATTTTTACTCTTTAAACTTTTTGGATGTTCTTCTATGTTTCTTAGCCATGTGAGATTGTTTTTTTATTAAAAAAATTAAACAAAATGGCATAATTTGTTGTGATTTTTTATCCCTAATTTTATTTTTTTGATTATAGTTATATAATTATATTTATTATTTAATATGTTTTACCTTAAATATTATATTGTAGTTGATTTGAATTATTTTGTTTCACTTGATTTTATGATTTTTAATTTATATATGTTATGACTTGTGATAGTTTTATACCTTTTAATATTGTAAACTTAAAAAAAAGTGTTACATATATATTAATATTGCTTTGAATATTATGTAAAATTAAAAAAAATATTTTATTTAAAATCCGGTTGAACCCGGTTGAACCAGTGAACCAGTACCTTCACAGATTCAATGTCCGGTCTGATTTTAAATACATTGGTTGGAAATATTAAATGGTACGGGTAGTTGTTGTGTGTACTTATAGAATCAATTAATGGCTTCAGCATCCAAATAGTATTGTATTTATTAGCATGGTGATGGCATTTAGTATTGTAGTGTGTAAGGGTGTAAATGAATCGGGTTTGAACGAATAAGATTGTATTCATGTTTATTTAGTAATACGAAGATGTTCATGTTCGGTTCGTGTTTGTTTAAAAATTTAATTTCATGTTTGTGTTTATTTAATTATTTTGAAGATCTCCATGTTCATTTATTTATTGTTCGCAAACATATTAATTTAACATTTGTGAACATGTTCACAAATATATTCATTTAATATTCAAGAAAATATTTATTTAGCGTTCATTTATATGTTTGTTTAATAGTAAGTTATATGTTCAAATTTTGGTTTTTGTCCTCTCCTTGCAAGCTAGAGAAATATGGTAAAATTACATCATTGGTGCTTAAATTCCTTAAGGTTCATAGTTTAAAATTCTATTCTCACCCCGTGTTAAATTTAGTTAATATCTTCATTAATATTTTAAAATGTAAAAATATAAAAGAAAAGAATCGAGTAATCGAGTTTGCTTATGATCATAAGTGAATGAGCCGATAAACGAACGTATAAAAGACTCATAAACAAGCATATAAATT